AGGGGATGCGCCCGGGGCTCCTTCCCCGAGCTGCCGCCCGGAGGTGGACCCAGAGCAGAGCTCAGCGCAGGACTGCGAGGACCCCTGGCCCACGGGGCACGCGGCTGCGGAGCCTCCTCGTGGCCGCGTCTGGGGTCAGGATGCCCTGGGCGCCTCCCTGCTGGTGAGGATGTCCTGCTGCGCGGCTCTGAACCCCCCAGCCCCGGTCCCTGGTGGGCACGACTGCGTGGGCCCGGCTTCGGCCCCTCGTGCGGGTGGATGCAAAGCGCCGGAGTCCTCGAATACAACCAGCGATCGAATCTGAATTCCAGGAGCCATGGACGAAAGCTCTGGGCCGCAGCCCCAGGCGGGAGAGCAGCCCCCACCCCCGGCCCCAGCAGGAGCTGTCCAACAGAGGAGCGAACCGGAGACCTTTAGGTCCAAGAGTTTACCCGCCCTGAACAGCGCCTCCTGCCGGCCGGAGCTCAGCCCCGCGGGCGCAGGCCCCGCGCCGGGCTGTCCGGGCTCCTCGGGCCGCCAGGAGCTGAAACAATGCCTGAGCCGGTTGGCGCCCAGCCCCTCTGCCCCGTCCACTTCGGCGGAGATGGCGGGACTGGTGGACTGCAACCAGAGGGTGGACGTCAGCAAGGCCGTGTCGGTGTCCCCCACGTTGGCCACGCTTCAGGGGAGACGGTGCCTCTACGTGGTCCTCACCGACTCGCGTTGCTTCCTGGCCTGCATGTGCTTTCTGACCTTCATCCAGGCGTTGATGGTCTCCGGGTATCTGAGCAGTGTCATCACCACCATCGAAAGGCGCTACAGCCTGAAGAGCTCGGAGTCGGGGCTGCTGGTCAGCTGCTTTGACATCGGCAGCCTGGTGGTGGTGGTCTTCGTCAGCTACTTCGGGGGCCGCGGGCGGCGGCCGCTGTGGCTGGCGGTGGGCGGGCTGCTCATCGCCGTGGGCGCCGCGCTCTTCGCCCTCCCTCACTTCATCTCGCCCCCCTACCAGACGCAGGAGACCAACGCCTCGGCCTCCACCGACGGCCTGTGTCAGAGCGGCAACTCCACGGCGACTCTGGAGCCTCCCGCCTGCCCGAAGGACTCGGGGGGAAACAATCACTGGGTCTATGTGGCTTTATTTGTTTGCGCCCAGATTCTCATTGGAATGGGCTCCACGCCCATCTATACCCTGGGACCAACCTACTTAGATGACAATGTCAAGAAAGAAAACGCATCCTTGTACCTAGGTAAGACTTTCCTGTCCTCTCGAGTAAGCTGAAGTCAAAAACCAAAACACTTTCTCTCACACTCCCCTGGAGATTGTATGTGTATTTATATACAATGTATTTCGTAAGTATTGTGAGCATTAAGTTTCAGTTTATTTATGTTTTGCTTTAGGGGTGGTGCATTTCAGTTGGGGAGAGAATCAAAAAGTTGAGAGCTCTTTGAATGACTTTTCGTACTCAAACTTCATTCTCTTTTCCCAAGAAGTACAAACTTTTAATGAGAAGGTAGTCGTCTGTCTGTCTGTCTCTCTGCCTATCTTTGGAAAAGCTCTAATTTATCCAGTTTGTCTTCTGATAGCTGCCCTTCTAGAAAGGTTCCAGAAGGAACAGAAGTAGCTGCTGTGTGGAGCGAAGTTGTTGCTTCTCCTTCCAGTTCCCAGCAGCTCAGGTGGCCAAGTACCTGGACTACGTAAAACATACTTCGTGGTCTCCACACCTGCATTTCTTACATTTCACCTGCATCACTTAAACAAATTTGAGCATCATGTGACTAGGTTGTCTTTATGTAGAAGCAACATCACAAGTTTATCCAAAGCTATTTTTAAAAAATCATCTTTCTTTTTTTTAAATATGTTTTTTATTGATTCCTAGAGAGAGAGGAAGGGAAAAGGAGAAGGGAGAGAGAGATAGAGAGGCTGCCTCCTGCACACCTCCTACTGGGGACTGAGCCCACAACCTGGGCATGTGCCCTGACTGGGAATCGAACCGGCATGGGTTGATGCTTAACCACTGAACCACACTGGCTAACCTATCCAAAGCTATTTTTATTGCTGGTTGAAGACCCTCAATTACATGAACTTGGGAGCAGACTCAGTCATTATTTTCTGAAAAGCAGTGGCTCTTGGATTCATGGAGCTGACTTGCATGAGTCAGCTCCTGTGGACAGGGGGCCTGGGTCAAGCACAGGGCTGTCGTGTGAGGCCAGGTAGCCAGTGCAGCAGGCAGGACAATGTAGGCTCTAGAAATCTGTGTGGTTGTCAGCATCTCCCTGCACTAGCTGCCCCTTCAAAACTGAACTTCTAAGGGTGGATTTGAACCCTTGGAAGGGAGGAATAGCAGTTATGCTGTATGCGATGTTTGTTTTTCTATGTTTTTCTACCGGAGTCCAACAAAAACAGGATAAAGGACTTCACTTTATAAAAAATGGTAAGTAAGCAAATACCAGGTGCGTCTAGCAACTTACTAGTTATGTGCTGATCCTTGGTGTGGGAATAATACGATTTCAAAGGACAGTGAAAGTGACACCTAATTCAGAGGGCCCTGCTTTTCCCACAGTACGGCTGCTGTCCCCAGAATCGGCTTTAGAGGATGGCCGAACCATTTATAGCCCCTAGCACTGTCCCAAAGGCATCAACACAAGAGTTTTCTAATTTATTTTTATTGTTTAAATGCAAAAGAACAAAATTTCCATTTAGGGCAGAGAGGAATAGCTTATTTGTTACTTTGCCTGCACGTTTTCCAACATTTATTATGACAAATGTTCAAGCATACAGAAAGTTGAAATAAGGACTTCTTTTACATAACCGCAGGAGTTTTAGCATCCAAAGAAAGTTAATCATTCTGTAATAGCCTCATGTATCCACTCCATATTCAAATGTCCTCAAACCAGGAGCCAATCAAGATTCACTCAAACATTGCACTTGGCTCATTAGCATTTTATAGTCTAGAACAGGGAGTGCCTCAATATGTTTCTTTTTCCATCACTTAGGCTTTTGAAGGGACAAGGCTAGTTGATTTGTGCAGTGTTCCACATTCTAGATTTATCTGATTATTTCCTCATGGTGTCACTTACCTGCTTCCTCCATTCCATATATTTCTTGTGCGCTGGAAGTTCAGTCTGAAGGTTTGATTAGACTCAGACAAAACATTTTTGGTCAGACTACATGGCTGATGCTGTGTGTTTTCTGTTACATGCACCTGGCACTCATTGGTGATGCTAAGTTTAATCACTTGGTTGAGTGGGCAATTGCCAGGTCTTTCCATCGTCAATATACATTTCTCCCTCTGAAATAACAAGTAATCTCCAGAGTGATACCTATTCCCATACTCTCACTGACCTTTGCCTCTATTTACTTTGAAAACTTGGATCTCCCTCCCATCCCACTTCTGGGTACCAATGTCACAAATTTCATCAAAAAACACAGCAGAGCCATACACAATAAACATATACTAGTAAGAACCCTGAGATCTAACTTTGCTGGTAGTGGTTGACCACCAAGAAGAAAAAGAGCAAGTACATATTAAGTCTTTATTCTGTGCTGGCACTGTGCTACTTTTGGGAAGACCAAGCATGAGGCATAGCTCTAGCACCTGAGCAACTCTCAGTGTAATGAGGTAATACCGACAATTCAAGGTAGGGGTGAAGTGACATGTGCAAGAGGAGGAAAGTTACACAAATGGTGTTTGCTCTTCCTCTCTCCTTCTTCCTTCCTCCCCTCCTCCTCTCCTTCCTTCCCTTCTTTTAGATATCGACTAATAATTTTTTTTTGGAAAAACTGTTGAGAAATGCTTAGAAAACTCCTGAGAATTCTGCTTCATATTACATGGATCTCAGTGAACACTCCCGTGGTGTGAGTATAGGAATCTTCCACGGATTGTTTTATTTAATATTCCCATTGGCCTTATGACATGGGAGTTGATTTCCCTAGTTTATGAATGAGGAAACTGAGGCTTAGAGAGTTCTAGTGATTGCTTCTGGGCTTCTAACCCACACCTGTCTGACCCCAGAGCCCGTGAACTTCTTTCCATGCTGCGTGTCCTTTGGCAAGAGGCTCTGAAAGCCAACTGTCACCCAAGGCTGAGCTGTGGGCAGCAGAGTTCTCAGAATGGGGCAGAAGATGCAGAGCTAGCCTGAAGGCATCAAAACAAGATCATTCTTGAAAACATTTATTTATTTATTTATTTATTTATTTATTTATTTATTTATTTAATATTATTTTTATTTTTTATATATATCTTTATTGATTTCAGAGAGAGAAAGGGAGAGGGAGAGAGAGAGAGAAACATCAATGATGAGAGCCATTGATTGGCTGCCTCCTGCACGCCCCCGATTGGGGATCGAGCCTTGGTATGTGCCCTGACTGGGAATCAAACTGTGATCTTCTGGATCCTAGATCAATGCTCAGTCACTGAGCCATGCTGTCTGGGTTTGAAACCTTTTAAACAGGAGGCTTATAGGTTACTTCCCTACAAATTCAAATAAAAGGAATCACTAAATTCTTAGAACCTGAGTGGTGTAAACCTATTATGATGTGGAACTTTTTCCTAAATAAGCAACTAGTTAAGTATCTTTGGTACTTCTCAGAAAACGACTCTTCTAGATTACCCTTTTCACTACCTACCCATTTCCTAACCTTTTGTCAGTCTTTCTAACTTCTCAATACAACCACAGAAGGAAAAAACCGAAGAGGTAGCAGGTTGGTAATTTGTAGGCAGGAACAAGTCTATCAATTAACGTTAAAACCATTGAAACGGAATGTAAATGCATATCTTAGTCTTTTGAAAGTGTGATGTCAACATTCTGTCAGCTTTAACTGTAGACGGATGTGGTTATAGGTGAGATGCAGCAGCCTTTATGGCCACTAAACACCTGGCTCCTTCAGCACGGAGAAAGGGTTAGGGTTGGCCTGGAGCACAGAGAAAGCCTTGTGGGGATTAACAAGCACGGTTAGCAGCGACACCGCGATTCATAATTGTATTTCAAACAGAGAGAAAATGTGGTTGTTCGGGGACAAGAAATTCATGAATTAAGAGGAGAGTGAGAAAGAAAGACTAACCAGGGGAAGAGGGAAAAGGGGATGCATTTCTAGAATAGAAAAACCCAGCTTTCGTTGCGTGATATTCAGGATAAGCGATGATTGGCACGGCCGGCCGCTGGCCAAGCAGCATGGGGGCAGCGATCCCAGCTCCCTGGCCTGTCAACCCGGACGTCACACCGCAGAGAAGGGTTGGAGTAGGCACAGTGCCTTAGAAAGAGCACCGGCTGGGGTTGCAGAAAGCTGTGTTGCAGCCCGGCCCCTACCAATGCCTGGTTGTGAGACTTCAGACCAATCCCTTAACCCCTCCCGGCCTCTCTTTCTACATGAGGGTTATTATATTTGATTCCCTCACTGTAATATTTTGTGGACTAAGTGGGATTATGTGTGTGCCAGCGTTCCAACTCATCCTAGAGAGTTCTCTTGCTGAGTCTGAAAATCCATAAACATATCTTTTTGTCATTGGAAAAAAGGCCAGAAACATTGCGTAGGAAATCACACACTAGAATCACTGTACAGGAAACACTGCATTGGTGTTGCAGCAACGTTATATTCTGATTAATTGAACTTTCTGAGAACCCAAGGTTTTGTCACCAGAGCTTTCTGCGTGTCAGTCGTTGACGACCATCTTTCTTTAGTGCATGAACATTGATGTAATGTGTACTTGTGTCTCGTGGAACATAGCAAAAGCTCTTTTGAAGTTTGAGGGGCTCTGGACTGTACCCAGTTTCACCACTGTGCCCGCTTACTCTCAAGGACGTCCCATGGACCAGAATGGAGTCCCCTGGCTTCTTCTGGGTAGCATGCTTCCCAGGAAGGCAAGTTTTAGGTTTTCTAGTCTGTATGGGAGGGGAATGCAAGTGAGATGAGGGCAGTGTGAGTACTGAGTGGCCTCTAGTTGTATCTGCCACCCTGGTCATGTTTTCTCTTTTGCCTCAATAGCCAGAAAATTCAGGCCTTTTTCCCCCCTTTTTCTGATCAGCATTAATAATCTATTCTAAGTGACTGGTAGCATTAGTTTGCCTGATCTTTCCGTTGGGATTTTGAAAGGGCCCAATAAAAAATACCCTTTCCCCTCACTTGAGTTCTGAGTTAGTTAAGAAATGAGTCCAGGGAATTAAACTGTAATAGAAGTGAGGTTGAAGAGTGTAGCACATATCTTTGTGCACATAGACTTTCTGGTAATCCCAGGATTAAGTAGACTTA